ACTGAGGGAGTCATATACAACTGACACGGAGGATATAGTGAAGAATAAAAAAATATATCCAAATTTTAAGAGTACTCAGTCTTTTGAAGGAGAAAGAAAAAAATAATATAGTAAATTAAAGATATTTGAGGACATAGTAAAAAAGTGGCCGTACGCAACCTAAGGAGAGAGGCCACACCAGAATGCTACTGGCACCTTGATCTTGGACTTTCAATCCTCAAACTATGAAAAAATAAATTTCTCTTATTTAACCCACTCAGCATATAGTATTTGGTTATGGCAGCCCAAGCTGACCAATACACTCACCAAAGTATTTTCCATCTCTGTTCATCAGTTTTCTCACTGTACGCTAAAGAGACTAGACTAGATGTCTTCATATACTAGGATTCCAGCTTTATATAGACACAATCCACATCATTTCAGCTAAAAATGATCCAACAGTGTGAAATTCTTGGCATACTTACATATGATTTTTTTCCTTAGATCTTTTGTAGATTTTCTCCTGGATTACAGATTTCCAAATTTTATTGCCATAGATAGTAGCTGCTTTTCTTGACAAATGATATTTTCTGGTAAGTAATCTATTTAATAATCAAGCTGAACCTATTTTACTTCCCTTCTTATAGCTTATATATGGGAGATGATATTGTCCTTTGTAAATTGGGAGTGACATCTATAATACTCTGTCACTAATACAATGTGATAGGCTATAGAATATGAGGCCTTTACATGTTATAGACACTCTACATAAATGAAGAATATTAGAAAAGGCACAATTATGTTATCATGTTAATCCTAATGATTTAAAGTGAGATATCTAAATTTTCACCAGAGTGAACTTACATGTTTTCTTTAGGGTCTTTTTATGATATATTTCATATCTCTACATAAGCATATCACCATTTGTCTATCTTCATAATTTGTTGTGTCTGTCCATCCAAGTAGAATGACTAGAAAGTCATAGCACATGTAGTCATATAGTCATATATTAACTGAAGGCAGGAAAAAAAAAGCTTTTGCTCAGTACATGAAAAAAAGGTTTCCAGCTTTTGAAAGTCATTAAGTGGGCTGTGAATGATATTTTAAAAGTTATGGGAGCAAGATATCCACACTAATGTACGAATAACTCAAAACCTTCTCATAACCTGCCTTCCAATGTAATTACTTGTTTCCAAAAGGAATCCAATATTACAGACATTGTGGTTTTCTAATTCATCCTCAAATGTATCATGATCATTCCTAGTTGTGTACCATCATTAAGTAGAACTACTACCATTTGTTTAACATTACAATTGTTCTATATACTCTAACACAGACCATTTTAGCTGACCCTGAAAACAACCCTATGGAAATAAACAAGAGTCAGTGTATTTCCTAACTTACACATGAGGAAACTGAGGTTCAGAGAGGGTAAGTGACTTAGTCATGAAAATTTGGCTAGTAATTGGCAAAGTGTAAGGTAAAATGTAGGTTCCAAGCCCACACTGTTCTACTCTCTTGCAGGTCTTCTCTTCACATACCCCAATCCAATCCATCTTTCAATTCAACAGCACCAACCAATCACTGAAGATTCCCCCATTCTCTGAACTCCTGCCAACCTCATTTGGTCATTAATTTTTGTAGACTTTAACAGTATACATTGAGACATTACCTAATATTTTGAATATATATTTCCTGGCTGCTCAACTGTACCACAAGCTCATTAAGGTTTCTGTGTATTTTCTGTACTGTTTGTATGCCCCTAGTATACAGACCATCTGTTTTGCTTTGTCTTTATTTGTTTCTGCTTGATATCCCTTCACCTGCTCCTAACCTTTTGTATCCCTATCTTTGGTAACAGCATCCTTTAGGGCATAACCAATCTTCTATTGAAATAGTCTTGGTAGCACAATCAAAGTTGTTTACCGTCACTTGAACACACAGTGGTCTTGTAACCTACTCTATGCTTATCAGGCTCTCTAGTTATAATTTGAATCAAACACAAGAGGAGAAAAATGGTTGGAGCTGATACATTCCTGAAAAGACTTCCCATTCATTTCTGCTACCTGAATTCTCAAAGCTGTCACAGTTGTTGCTATTTCGAAGGCCAAGTTCCTCAGCCTTTCCTCAGTTTTTGGATGAGCTACCTCATATCCTTCCAACAAATTCCACTTTTTGCTTAAACCAGGCATAGTCACTTCCTGCTGCTTGTGAACAAAGATCTTTATCTGATACACCCACAAAGCTTAGTGCACAGAGAATGCTCAGTATTTTTAAATATTTTGTTCTTGCACAGATTATATCTGCTATCACATACTGAAAACGAAAATAACAAATGACCTTGAAGTACAGCACTTTCATTGGTTAGAATTTTAATAACCAACAGGCAAGCACAGGCCAAACTAACATTGGGAACTCATCTTCACTGAAATTATTTTCATTACAGTTCAGCACACTGGTTTGGTAACTCACAAAGTGATAATTCACTGCTGCAAATTAACAAAGCACTTTGTAGTGAGGGCAGTACTTACAGTAATGATACTATTTAGTGTTGACATTTTGGTTAACCCATCTGTTTTCCTTTTCTTCCCAAATATTATAGCAGCCAATTGTGACCATCTGAATTTTTTATAATACCTTACTACAAGACACATCAGATAAGTTGAACTCCTTATACTATGGCTCCCTTTTTAGCTAGGTGAATATTTCAACATAGTCTAGAGCTTCTTGTGAAAATCACTGAATTATAGCTTTAAAATCACTGAGAAGGGAAATTATCATTAGAAAAATTTAGGTGAGTAAATGGTATCATTTCTAAAGCAGAATCAGTGTTCTGCAAGGGAAATTCTCCCTGCTATTTTCTTTAAGAAAAAAAAATCACTATGAAAAATCAATGAAGTAATCTTTTATAATATAACTGAAATTTAACAGCAATTCTAGCTAATCATACATCAGTAGTTAGTTAATTCTGTTTCAAACAGATTATAGACCTAAGCTAACTATTTCTATGTACTTCAGTAAATTTCTGTCATTTTAGACATTTACATCTACTCAGAATCCTTTGTATTCCAGAACATCCTTTTAATACTAGATATTATGGGAATATCATACATGTATATGATATTTTTCTTTCCTAATGATACGCATTTTCCTAGAAGTATTTCCCAGAAGATAAAAATCCTACAAAAAAGTGAGGGTGAAAGATTTTAAAACCTTCACTTCTTTCTCTTTTGGAATACCTATTACTACATGATAGCATTTCCCACAAGATTATTTTTTATTTTATTTGAAGTTGGCAAAAATCTTTGTGCTGAATCCTTTGAGCATACCTCTAGTGATAGATGTCAGATCAGCGTTGTGTGGAAGAACTTTTATTTGACAGGTAGATGACAGGAAGAAGGCTCTCTCCAAAATATAAGATGTAACTATAAAATCCTTCTGTGAGGTTAACGTAATCTTTTGTTCCTGTGTACAAATGACTTATTCATTCTTGCTTCAAAGAATCAGTTCATGTAATTAATGTTAAAAGTGTGAAATTAAGACACTTACAAATAAAGGTACATATTTGTTCAAATTAGGATGGTTTGTTTAATGTATTTTTTATATGAATTAAATGTGAAATAGTTATCTAATATAAATTTCTACGATATTTTAATTTATAATATTTTTACAATCCTCAAGCAAGAACACTTTTAGTCACTCACTGTGTATACAGCATATACTCTAAGTAGCATATTGATAAGAAATGACTCTATTAGCATTGAGTATATGAAAGCATTGAGCTATCCAATGAAAACATCCTAAGTAGTGTTATCCTATAAATCTGGCAATGAATTATTCCAATTTATCATAAGCATTGTCTTATTCTTTCTGGCATTATAAAATAATTTCACATGACCACAAATATCACAAGAAGGCGGAGTAAAAATATTTCTTTGACAAATCTAATGTTTCCAAATAATTTTCCCTATACCCTTCAAAAATATCTTATAAGTTAACAGATACTCACAATTCCATTATACATCCTATTATCTATAAATGTTTTTCTTTATGTCTATCTGGGTTAGAAATGCCAGGATCAAATCATTTTTGATACATGTTAAAGTGCTAGTCCATGTATATATAATGCACATCTATTTAATGCACGAATAGAAAAGAAATTCATATCCAGTCCTACATTTGGGATTCTTGTTATAATATACTTCAAGAACTAACCAAAGTTCTACAACGTTTTCAGATGTAAGAGAAAAAAAAAGTGAAAGAAAGCTGAGATGTCAAAGACAGATTATTCGTTTTCAGATTTATCTTTGTCTCTAGCTTTCTTACAGGCCTTCACCTCAGAATGTGTTCAGGTTTCTCCCTGTAATAGAAAGATCTTTTTCTTGAATAAGGTGGTTAGCTCTAGCCTAGAAATGGGCATATGCAATCACTTTGGTGCTTCTCTGTTTCTTTGTTTACTTTTCGTAAGAATTAAGTCTCAAAAAGAATAATATGCAATGACCCAATCAAAACACTAAGATGATTACCACTTGAATCTTTTTAGCTCTCAGGTAATATGCCAGATACCAGTGTAAGCTTAGTGACACAACATTAATCAACAACGAAGAGTATTACTTGCTTAGAATAGAATAGGTAAAGCTTACTAAAAAATAAATTTCCGGCTATTTACTTCATTGAATTTAGCTCCTCAAATACTTTTTGGAGAGACACAGAATATGCATAAAAGGATTAAAATACAATGTTGCATCTATTTTGTAAAAGCAAATTTTGTTTTGGTCTATGAAGTCTAATAAAATTTAATCAGCAAGAGTTGAGTATTATACTGCGAAAGAATTTGCGTAGTCTTGGATTTTACTAAAATAAGATTTTAAAAAGCTATTTAATTGAGATAAGTTTCATATACCATAAAATTCATCCTTTTAAAGTATATAATTTTGTGGTTTATGTACTATTGCTTTTTAGAGTAACCCTCTCATAGACAAGAAAATGTTTATAAATTATCATTATAAATGTAATCTTACCTTGCAAAGGAAATTGATCTTAAAACCCAATGACTGGGCATTTCTTGAGCCTGAATTCATGTAGTTTCCAACCAAAAGAACTAACTCTAAAAGTCTGTTAAAACTTTCACTTTTCTTCAGTTCTTCACAGGCAAGAGTTACTGCTATGATGCTTGGTTTGATGTTGTTTACATGTTCTTCAAACATGAGCTTGAAAAGAATGCTATTGAGACGAGGCCGTAACATTTTCACTGAGCTGATCTGTAAGATAAGGAATGTTCTATGAGAAAATACATTTAAAACCTGATGTTTTATCGCCTTAGTGGGGATAATTTCATAGACAATACTGTAAAATTTCTGTATAAAACAAATCCTACCTAGGTTTAAAAAGTATTATTTTTGTTTGTTTTAAACATTTCAAAGAAATATTTCACCAAAGTTTTAAAAAGCTGGTTGTTCAGTTTTTTAAAAATAAATTAAATCATCCTTATAGTATTAATACTATTGGAGCTGAACAGTTGCTATATGTTAAGTGCATAATCGTTAGCCATCAATAACATCCAAACTGCCAAAATCTGTCCCTGAGGTGAACTAGGAAAATTTATAAACATGAAATTGAGTTAAGTGAATAGTTGGGCAACAGATAAAAGATGTACATGATAATAGAAAATATAAGTGGAACATTTCCTAAGAAATTACCTATTACTATGCTGTTTGAAATCAGAGGACTAGCTCTGATTGAGCATTTAATAATTTTTAAACCTATGATTTCTATTCATAAAATATATTAAATATTTATATACGCTCTAAAGAATTTCACCTACTTGACAGATGTGGATATTAAATAATTAGGTTACGGTAAAATCATATGAACTTACTTTCAAATACTTTATTCAAGAATTCTATATTGGTTTCTTCAAAATAGTTCAACTTTGCTTTTAATTACTTGTTTCATACTATTGGTGCACATTTTATATTCTCTTTGGTATAGTTCCTATGATAATTATTTTTAATTTTCAATTTTTTACAGCCCCAAATTATTTAACTAGTTTTCATTCACCAAAGGCATTCTGAGAGAAGTGGGGGAGGGTAGACACACATAAACACAGCAAAAAGAAAGTATTTACAATTCTATTTGTTATTGCATGTAAAACTTACTTTCTTAAATACAAATGCTAAGCACATGTTAGGTACTAAGATACCCGCAGATAACATGAAGAGAATTTGGGAACATAAACAAAAGTCTTTAAACCACAAAGTACCCTTTAAAAGTAGCAAATGAGCTATTGGGTAGATCATATCTGCTCTAATACAGAAGTAAGACATAGTTTATTATTTTTCTTTGAAATTAACTTGCCCATTAACCATGAACATCTGCCTCTCTAAATATGAACCTTTGCCTTCTACTAATCCTTCTATATGCTTTGATGCTTTTCACAGGCATATATAAAAGTATGCTGGAAATATCCACTTGTTACTATATTTATGCAGGTTTAATCACTTATAATCAGCCTTTTCTATATAGTCAGAGTATTATTATACAAATTGTACACCAATTATATAATAAGTGAAATTATATACTATTCACAAAAAACTCACAATATAGTCTGAAACTCATAACAGTGGCAGTTGAAAACTATAGCTAATGAAAAACCAGCACATGATTTTAGATAGAGAAACAGAAATTAAGTTCTGGAGATGTTCACCAGAAGAAGAAAAAACTTTAAACTCTTATGTTTAAAGTTTATGACTACGATATTTAATGAAGGCTTCATGGTAGAGGGAATACAAATGAAAATATAAATGTATGTGTGTGCATGTGTAATAGACAGAGAGAGAGCACGCACGCACGAGAGAGAGTGTGTGTGTGTAAATAAGCACACACAGAACTGAGGCCAGAAGGAAAGGGTAAGGAGAATAGGGTTAGAAGAGGTTTATAGGTTAGTCATTATAGGACATAGATACCTAGGCACACAATTTGAACTAAAGTATCTTAAGAATGCAGGTTAAGGCCACAAAATTGGAAGCTCATCTCATCAAAGTCTATCGCCAAGAACGTGGAGGTCTTTTTGTGTATGTTTGTGTGGGAATCTAAGTTCCTATATGTGTTTTTCTGCCTGCATTTCTGCCTCTACCACTGTCTCCAAATCCCTCCCCACTTTATTATTTTTCCTTTCCTTTTACTGGTACCTGCCCACTACTAGCACAGAATCATGTTTTCTATGTGTTTAAGGAGTAGTTTTATAGTCTCCCTGATAGTAGTCACCATGTACCTGCACTGCTGGTCATGCTTTGTAGAGCCTGTAGACCCAGGTTAACAGGGTGCTGTTGGTCCCAGATCGATAAGGAACATAACTCTTAGGCACATGTGGGCTTTTAGTCTTGTTTCAGTTCTAATACCAGTGTCTTCATTGATATTGTTATCCTTTCTGGGCTTTGTATTTCAATCCTTGGCCTACAAACTCAAAGGGTATGGTTGTGATTTTTTTTTAACACAAACTCCAACCGAAACAATGTAAATAAAAGTATATTTTAATGATAAGAGTAACAGTAATAACAGTGACAAACATTTAGAGACATCTTTCCACATAAGTATTATATATGTATTAACTAAGTGATTCTCAACATAATCCTCAGGAAAAGGCTATTATCTTTATTCTCATTCTAAAGATGAGGAAAGTGAAGCACAAAAATACTAAGTAACTTGCACAAAGCCAAATGTCTATGTTGCAGATCTGAAGATTTGAACTCAGGCCTTTGGGCTGCAGATCCCAGACTATCAACCATTATACCACACTGCCTCTTGAGTCTTATTAGGATCAGTAGCTATGATTAGTCAAAGAAGAGATTAGTGGCAAGGATACCATCAGGAAGTTATCAAAATGGCCTGAGAAACAGGCAATGAGGTAGAAGGTTGACAGTAGGAAGAGAAAGGAAAAGATGGATACAAGAGGTATAATTAAGAAAGAACCAATGGGACTTAGCAACTGAGCAGTTATGGGAAGAAAAATTCAAAGATGGCTCTAAGGTTGTAAGACTTAACCTTATAACCTTAGGTAGGTAGAACAATGTTGGCATTAATTAACATAGAAAGAGGTGCTGATGTGGTATGGTTTATTGTTTGGTTGTTTTGATTCCGAGAATGAGGGTAGATGAATTTGCTTCCCCAGATCTGTTGTTATTAAGACCCCAGTAAGCTACTCAGGAACTAAGGCAGCAGAGGCAGGTAGGTACAGCTGAGTATCAACTTCAATCAAAGAAGACTGAATTCAGAAACTTTCATGTGGTCTGACTGTATGAAAATAATCTGCCTAATTTTCTGGTCTTAAGTATCCCCATCTATAAATAGGGGAAATCCTGTAAAGCAGTCTTGCTTTGATGATTAGACCAAAGCCAAATGAATGATCCATTCATATTACTTCCATCTTTTTCAGTCTCTGCCTTTAGAGTTGTGGGAGGGTACAGCAAAGGGTACTAACTTTACAAGTGAAAAATATTGCTTGGCTGTTACCAAAAAATTTTATTAGCATTTAAATGAATTTTGTTGACCATCTTCTCAGGCGTCAAATAGTGTATCTTAACTAACAATGATGCTATATTATTAAGACTCCAAATGTTAGAGTGATATTCAAATCAAAGTATACAAAAAGTTATTTAATACCAATCCTGGATAATGTTTCAAGCTGAAGAATTTCTTGGAATTGTCTTTTATTTTCTACACTTACCACTAAAAGACAAATATTATATACTTCAAGGTTGGATTACTAAATAGACTCTTTAAATGTCCTTCCTGATCCCTCTAGCCTTTTCCCCTTCAAATCCTCATAAATGGTAAAATGATATCTCTAAGACAGGGAAATAACATTGTTTTCTTAATGTGTTGAGTTTTTGGCATTATTATAATATGATATCTGGTAGCATCTCAAAATATAGTCCCAGGGTTTAAAAAAAGATAAGTATTGGACTTGACAGATTTAGGAGTTATCTGAATAGATGTTCTGGGAGGCAAGGTCATTGATGAGGAAAGTATAGAGGGAGAAGAAGAGAAAAAGAGTCAAAAATTGTACCTTGTGGAGCCCCTAGCAAAGAGTCTGGTATTAGACATTCAAATACTTGCTGATTGATTTTAAAAGCACTCCTTAGCTGACTAGCCATTTTCCAGATCTTCTATTACACAGGACAGATTGTCTATTGAACAAAATTAACAACTGATGGTCATATTTTACTCTCCCAAAATATTGTCTTCAGTTATGATGCCAAACTGGAAATGCTAGGGAATTAACTTTGTGAAACTGCTATTATTGGATATTAATCTATCATTAGTCAGTCTGCTTCCAGGAAGAAGTTGTACACTATAATGGGATCAGAGCTGCCCTTTTCATGTGGCAAATGTTCTTCATTCATTCATCCCCTACAACAAGGTTTGATACATGACAAGTGATAAATATGAGAGTTGATTTAAAAAATAAATAATTGTAAACTGAATGAAGAAATGAATGTATTCATCCACTCAAATGGGAACCACAATATTCAGTAAAATGCTGGGTTTAGAAGAGGATGCATGATTTAAAAAGGTAGAATAGCAGGCTGAGGGGAAGGAGGAGGTACCTTCTGCAAGGTCATTTGCTGCCAGGTGTGTCATCCCAATAATACTGCCTAGCACCAATCTTAGCCCAAATTCAGAATCCCATATACCTATTTTTAAGGGTAGTGTTCAAGAGAGATTTTTCCCTAAACCCAGAAAAGGGAGAGAGACAATTCTTTGCATTCTCTAAACCAGGGGTCTTCAAACTTTTTAAACAGGGGGCCAGTTCACTGTCCCTTAGATTATTGGAGAGTGCGCACTGTGGGCCCGGGATGAGTCGGCTGCCAAGCAGGACAGGCAGCAGCGGCAAAAACACCCGGAGGGCTGGATAAATGTGCTAGGCAGCTGCATGTGGCCTGCAGGCTGTAGTTTGAGGACGCCTGCTCTAAATTCATACTGAAAATTGCAGTAAAAGAAACAGGGACTTTTGAGTTACACTGACATAAGCCTGAATGACACTCTGTCATTTTCTAGTTGTATGACATAGTGCAAGTTACCTAATGTTTCTGAGTCTTTACTTCCTCATCAAGGAAATGTATTCATTAAATTATCCATGCAAGTTGCAGTACGACTTAAATGAGATGCTGTGTGTAACACTCCTGTCATAGTTACTGACACAATGTATAAACTCTAAAACAATAGCTCTTTTTGTCATTATCCCCTTTGTCTCCAGAAA